AACACAAATCCCTGTTGAACTCCATAAGGTGTCACTGCACTGTTCTGTAGATGTCTGGACAAGTAAAAAGACCAACAACAGCGCACTGACTGGCTGCATAGGCATTATGCTTATCATACAGTTATTTCTGTATCACAGATCTGTACAGAAATGACCAAGGTGATACTTGAAGACTTGAGGTACCATAAGGTGGTGACACAGCCTTTAAGCAAGGGGTGGGTAGTATTGACAAAAATCAAACATCCTCATATTATTTTGCCACTGTATTCCATATTAGTTAAGGGTGTAACAGTGTTTTCTTGTGCAGTATTCCATAGTTAAAAGGAATGATAAACAATGTGTATCTGGACCTACTGCCTAAATTTGTGTGGACTTTTTTATTGAAAAGGTTCTGGTATTAACATACCTAGTGTCACGTTCCCATATGTTTAGATTATCACCCAGCTGTACTCAAAACACACGACCTTTCTGCCAACAATCTGCACTGCCATCTTCTTCACAAACCATTTAATCTAGCCCCCTTAAAAGGCTTTTAAAGTTTTAGCACATAAACAGGTTTTTGTGTTTTTTTCTACAGATCCAGTTGACATGCTGGTTATTTTTCAAGCTCCTGTTACATCAGAAAATTGGCATTTGCTGCGATTGGTTGAGATCAGGTAACAATCGGGAGGCTGGTGGGAATCAGAGAAATAAAACTTTCCATAAAACCCATCTTTATTTTCTTAGCTCAAAAACTGAAATGACTCCTGGTGACCCATTACATACTCTATGGAGCATGGTAATGACATGAATTTCAAACTTACTGAACAGGTGTGTAGTCCTACATAGTCTTCATTTTGACTTATTTGTTATAATGAAAATAGGTTTCGTGAGCAGACACTAACATGGGAGAGAACCTGTTTCTGACAGTATAGTATCTCTATCCCTGTGAATCAGTCCTCAACACAATTGTATCAACTATCTTGTCAAGGTTCAAAATAATTGGACGTAAGACTAATTTCACTCACACAAAAAAAAGATTTTTAAGCACCAGTCCCATTAAATTTCTAACAATAATGGATCAAATTTTCCAACAAACACACATTTTGGTGAATGCACATCTCAGAAAAGAGAACCAGTCCTGTTCTGCAAGAGACAAACATACACCCTCCTATTTTAAAGGAAATCATTGTTTTGTCTGCTTATTTCCAACAAATAAAAGGTGCATTTCTGCAACAACACAAAGGATCATCACTGATTATTATCTATAAAAAAAAATATTAATTGTCCTTTATTTAATACATACAACAGCCAAAGTGGACATTTATAATTTGTTTAATCCCCACCCTATGTACTGTTAAACTAGGTGATTTTATTGATTGAATTCCTGTACAAATCAAGTGTTCACATTAAATTCTACATTCCTTTAACTATTAAGTGTGCACTTTTATGTAGGTCACCCACCACCCCTTTTTTTTCACAAATCTCACTCAAACGACCCAGCAATGTAGCTACCCTGCACAATCTACACTAAACATATCATGGGAATATTAGTTTCATTCATTCAAGTTTGTATTAAATTATAAACTTTAGTGTTAGTCTGAACATTTAACAAGATCAACCCGACAGTAAAGTCTTAGAAATTCCTGGTTCACCCTCATATGAACTTGCGAGGCCTTTAACTAGACTATCGCAGCTAATGCTGTTATACACTGCTGCTTTACACCAAACTATTACAATGTCGTGATCGTTTAATTAGATGTAACGCATCTGCGCTTTGCAATTTATTGCTACGAGGTAACGATTAACATTGCTGCAGCTGAATGTAATTAGTTTAAAAAAAGCTAAAAAGCGAACAAAGCAAAGGCCAAAAAATCCCCGGCCTCGAGTTTAGCTTCGCCTCACTGCCTGCGACTTGTAGTTAGCTATTATATGCATGAGCTAACGTTAATTTTCGACAAATGTAAGGACATTGACGATTAAAAACGAGCTCATTAAGGTAAAAAAAAACCCTACTTAATGGCTAGCACACATTTTATATATGTATAGTGGGTATCTCGCTATGCACTACGGCATCATTTGTATGTAAACACTGACCGTCAGCCCTGCAGCAGTGGTTGTTGTTGTCGCCTCTCCGCTAACCTCCGGGGCGGCCAGGCCGATAACACTCACTGCCCGCACCGTCCCCCGGAGCCAGTCCCGGGCCCAAGCAGCCTGCTCCGGCTCGGATCCATTCGCGGACCTGCCGTCGTCGAGGAGCAAAAGCAGACGCTTCCCTATCAATTCGAGAGAGTCCCCCATGGTTTGCTCGTAAGCTAGCTGCCTTTAGTGAGCCACCATGAACAGTGTAACTTCTTCGCCTGGGATGGGAACTCAAGTACGGCAGAAGACGAGCAGAAAACGGCTGCAACGACTTTATATTCAACGTTAGCGCACAAGAGAATTTGTCTCACCCGTTGCACCCGCGGGCACGAAGCGGCGGACCGAGTCACGCCAGGAATTCACAGAGTCGAGATGTTATTGTCCTCGGTGCTAACGCGACTATCCTGCTCTGTCCGCCATTGAGCCCTGCAACAATCAAACGCACTCCTCGTAGACAGGCAGCACTGCGGAGACAGAGAGCGAGTGTGTGTGGAAACAGCGGCCTCTAGCGGCGGGCCTGCGGACCACACTGGTTCACACTGTGCGCTGTAGGATGCTTTGTTTTTCAGGGTTTTCCGCAGTGTTACAACGGAGGTGAACCACCTTGCCTAAAATGAAGAAATAAAAAGTTCTGTCTCTTTAATGAAATAAAAAACTATATCCTACTGAATTTTTTGAGACAGATAATCATGTTGATATTAGTTGCAAAGATCTGAACATGGCCGATATTAATTTTTTTTTTGACAAGTAGCACATATTTTAACATAACATAACAAATGACATATATTCAATCCATGTAGCTATTGTTTAGGCAATTTCCTACAAGCTAAATGCCTCACAGTTTAGGTGGCTCACCATACATACGGGTGTGAACCAGTGTCTTATTCCAGATGTTGAAATATTTCAAAACATTGCAATTTAAAAGTTTTGAACAGCAACGAAACCTGGGGGTACATATCACAGAAGTGTCCTTTTCGATTATTATAAATATCATCATTATTATTATTATTATTATTATTATTGGTATTGCTGTTATTTTATTTAAGAATGGCTAATTTACGAGTGTGAAATAATGACACAGTGACATTTTTGTTGGAAATAAAGAATAACATAATAAATAATAATTGCAATGCATATGTAAAACATACATATACAATTCAAAGCAGTGGTAGTAGTAGTAGTAGTAATAGTAGGTAGTAGTAGTAGTAGTACTAGTAGGTAGTAGGTAGTAGTAGTAGTAGTAGTAGTAGTGTATTGGTATTGTTCATTTTGACCACTAGGAGGTGCTGCACTGCCACAAACTCTTCATAGCACTGCAGTGAGGTCAGTATTTCAGCCAGAGGGGACACAGTTCATAGTTCATATATTTTTACATTAATTTATTAACCCTTCAAATACCACGATTAAAGTAGCCCGGGCCCTTGAAGCTCTGGGTTATCAAATTTTAGGACAGAGAGTAGAATACATACAATTTTCATTTATAAATAAAAAAACTGTGACTTCTATTTTAATGAATGTAAAGCATAATAATAAATCATAACCTTTTCGTACTGTGATATTTAAAGCTGTGTATTTTTGCATTTATGCTGTGAGTGTTCTTTGGACACAAATAAAGAAGTGTCAATACTGGTTAAATTATGCTCTGGCATACACAAATAACTTCATCATGTATTACTGGAAGCATGCAAATCAAGAATGTTCTTTGGTCTCACAAAAGTTTTATATTTAGTTTAGACCTTGCTTTTGCATAATAATACCCTCCAAATAAAAAGCCATACAGGGGAACAAAGTAACACAGATGTCTTCTATTTGAAAAACACCACCATATTTATTCACGAGTTATACAAGATACATCATACAGTATATACAAAATCTCAACATTAAAATATCAAAAGAGATAATAAAACATATATTTATCTTTCTTTTTATAAAAACCTGCATCTTGTTACAAAATAGGCCAGCGTCTTCAGACTGGCTTTATGCTTCAAGTCAGCTATTAGGTTTCTCTTGTGAAAGGTGATATTTATAAATCGAAGAATTGCATGTGCCAAGCATGTATAGGTTACCTTTGTAAACTAATGTCTCCCTGCCTGTAAAAATATGCAGTACGTGCAAGAACAATTGTGTGGAGATTTCTCTGTGCACACGTACGGATAAATGTAAGAGTGTGTGCGTGTTAAAGCTGTACATTTGTGACTCTGGTATGCCACCATCAGCTTACACTTTAAATACACATGTTGTTGGTAATGATCAAACTGTGACAGGTCTCGCACAAGCCTTTGAGGGGACACACATTCATGCCTCTTCCTTTCAGTTTTTCTACTCAGCATCCATGGCAATTTATAAAAATCACTTTAGCACTACTTAGCATTTATAGTGTTATCTCAAACCCTAATACCTCTCCTACACTCTGCTACAATCAGACTTCAGTTTTCCTTTATTTTCATTAAAATACACCCAGATGAGTGTATGCTCTAAAACTAATGGGCTGCACAGATAATGCAGCAAGTCTTAAATTTCCCACAATTTGGCTGTGACAAAGACAAAACAATCCTTTGCATTATCAAGGAGATGCTCAAGATGCAGCAAGATTTTCTCAGTCCAGCAGTAATAACATGAGAGTCCCAGTGTTGAATACTGGCAGTATCTGTGTGTTTGCGTGTGTGTGTGTGTGTCTGTGTCTGTGTGTGTGTGTGTGGGTGGGTGTGTGTGTGTGTGTGGGTGGGTGTGTGTGTGTGTGTGGGTGGGTGTGTGTGTGTGTGTGGGTGGGTGTGTGTGTGTGTGTGGGTGGGTGTGTGTGTGTGTGTGGGTGGGTGTGTGTGTGTGTGTGGGTGGGTGTGTGTGTGTGTGTGTGTGTGTGTGTGTGCTCGCTCTGTGGGTTACTGGAGTTTCATACAGCTGTGTGGTACACATTCAGCCTGTTCCTCCAGCTCAGGGCAGGGGATGCCAGCATTAGCCGGCCGTAAAAGGATGTAACGTGTGCGGTGGCGAACGCCACCTCTGGAGCAGGGACCCAAACATAAACCCCAGGATGACCAGAGAGACACTTCACAGTCCAGTGGTGTCACTGTGTGGAGGGAAGGGAGAGATGAGAGAAAATGTGTGTGAGTCAAGAGCGAAGGGCAAAGAATGCAGAAGTATTATAATTGCGTCTGTGTAGAGTGGTCCTGTCTAAAGCAGTTTACCCATTATAGTTTAAAGAAGCTTACCCACTATAACACATAACACACACCTTTAATTTACCCAACAGTAAAAAAAAAACACATATCTCCACTTGTCTCATTTTAGAAAGAAATGATTCCTCTCAATGTGTCTCGTGAGCGTGATGTCAAGACCAATGAAATATGTGTCAATTACATCATTCCTCTAATAAGCACTGTATGTCAGCATTGGCTGTCTACTTAGTTGCATTATGGAAAATGTGGGATCTAGCAATTTTGGAGTTTGCCCTATAGCCTACTTGGGACTCAAAATCAGGAAAACTTGGCATCTCCCGCTTCGATTTAGGTTTTTTATTTCACCTTATCAACTTTGTGGAAGTGCTAAATTACTTCTGTATCCATTTAATGAGCACACACAGCAATTATGTCTTTATTATATTGAATAAATTACGAGATTAGATTACCCAATTAAACTGATTTAAGAATTAGGACCATATCATAACTTTAGTGGAATACAAATCAGGGTCATAACATGTTACATATGTCATATGTTTTTTGCTTCTGCTCCCTCATTTATTTTATTCATCATCTGGTTTCATCTTGGTCCTCCCAGGTAAAGCCTTTGGGTACCACTGACGTAGGGAGTCCTCTCGTCTTACCTGAGAAGCGCTGGGGACTGATAGAGTTAGGCAGAATATGATTGGACATTGGGGTTTGACGGTCAGGTGATCTGCTCTGTCGAGTGATCTTTATGCTGGCGATTGGTGGAAGATCCTGTAAGCGTGGATAGTAGAAGGAGTTGGCTGGGTGGTTCGGCATCTGGGATGTGATCTGAACAAGTCAGCAGAGAACAGTGGAGTATAATTCATCGGGAGAGCCAGAAGATTGTCAACACTAGTTCAAATAACACAATAGCCCACTTTAAAGCACAAGCTGGAAAAGGATAGATGGTCTATTATGTAATAGAGGCCCTTCTTACTCAAATCACTTCAGGTCAGGCATGAGGGCCGCCAAGCAATCATTCAAGTGGAGACAGCTAAGAATGATGTCCCATTCCCATGCTGCTAACCTATTTTAAGAATAAGACATGGGCTATCCACCTTGCATTGTCTCACCATGAAATGAATGCGTAAATGACTAAATCAGTGAGTCAGTGTATCAATGCATGGAGGGTTTTGTACTTGTGAACAATGCAAGAGCTCACCTTTGTGATGTTTTCTGGAGGGCTGGTGGGGAAGTTGGGAGAGGAGAAAGTGAATCCACTGTCTGTCCCTGCATCATAAGGCTGGAGGTCAATGGTCACTTCCTGTTTCCACTGGCTGCCCTCACAAAGGTTTAGGCTGTCCACACCGACAAACCAGTCTGGGCTGGGGATCATCTTCACCATCAGGGACATCTGTTGATCAGAGAGAAAAAATGCAATTAGTTCAAACTTTACTGTCCAAGGAGAATGTAGTTCACTGTTAAAAAAAGACAATAGAGAGAGCAATAAAAAAAGGCACAATTAGATATAAGGGGTACCCAAAAATTAAAATTACTTGATAAGATCAGTTATTTATTAATCAACCCAGTCAGCCCATAAATCAAAAGCATGACTAATAGAAATTGAGGAGCAAAGGAAAAGAATGCCTTAAACTGAAGAGGATGGACGTCTTCAGGCCATGCTCGCAGCATGGCCTGTCTGTTGGTCAGTTCACAACTTTGATCCAGACTGAAATACCTCAACAACTACTGGACAGATTGCCATGAAATTTGCTCTGCACATTCATGTCCCTCTAAGGATGAATTGTAATAACTTTAAACTGTATACCTGCTGTAGACTCTGGTTTTTTACTTTCTTCTTTCTCATCTTCAAAGCCATGACCTCTGAGGCTTATATTTTGTTCTTCACCCAAGATAACAATTTTGTCCTGTATTTGAATACTGATATTGCATGATCAGTTAACGCAGTTTTCTTGTCTTTCTTTTGCTTTGTCAAATTTTAACTGTAAATGCGGGAATAAAGTTACAATCAATCCTACTGGACACACAGAGCTAGACTGACAATTTCAGCACAGCTGTGATTGTTTTCATGGCTCCAGTCGAAAGTCTCCAGCCGCCTGGTGAGGAAGAGCTGAACAATAGCTCTTTCGAGGAGAAAAGAAAAAAATTGAATAAAAAAAACTGCCTCATGTCTATTGATATATATTGTGTAAAATTAAATAGTTTGAAGCTATAATGTTAAGATAGCTGGGACAATACACAAACACACACACACAGTGTAGTGTCAGGATTTATAAATTCTCACATTTACAAATGTGGGGACTGGGGACTGCAAATGTGCGCATGCTTGCACCCACTCAGTTTCCTGTGCAGGGTTACACTGTGTCTCCTGTGTGATGGATGTTTTCCGAGAGCACGATGACCTCATACAGGAAGAGGCCTGCGGGTCAGCACACGCTGGGGTGGCAGACGCCCAGAGAACAGTACATTTGAAAACGCCTCCTCACTTGTGGCCCGATATTCGAGGACCTGGGCTGAGCTGAGGATAGGATGGGTGGGCTTGGACAGCTTTGGATGGCTACGAAAAGGGTGGCCTGGAGTCTGATAGAGCACTGGATGGAAGAGTGCTGGGGCAGACATCAAACCCATTCAACAGGCAGAGCAGACCACGCGGGGCAGGTGGCAGGTAGTGTCAGCATGACACACAGCAGGGTCTGTTTCTTGCCTGTGACGCACAGCAAGAAACAGAGAAACTAAATCAGAAGCAGCTCTGTTGCTTTTTAGAATCCTCCGTTGATCCCTTCCTTCCTTTCTTCCCTCCTCTACTAACATCGCTCCCTCCTCTTGTCCTTTTCACTCTCAAACAGCGGTTTTTCCAAGAAGCCGTCCTGCTATATCCATTGGGCCACTCAGCAAGGATGTCTACTCAGGGGTATCCCTCGTCACCGGCTTGAACTGTCCACGGTGGTTTGCAATATACAGGCCAGGAAGTATCTCCAGAGCGCAGACAGTTACTCAAAGCTCCCATGATCCCTCTCACTTTTTATCCATCACAGCAAATCTTCCGCAGAGCCCTGGAGAGAACGAGTCGTCCAAGAAAACACGCAACCCAGTTCAATAGCACAAGCATCTTAATGCTTTGTTGATGCCCTTTTCTGTGGTGTCACTGATCTTACAATAGACAGAGTCTTTGTACCGACACGTGGATCCTGAATGATACTTATTTGGTGTTACCTGTCTGTTTTGAATTACACATTTAACAGCAATAGCAGGAGGTTCATGAATATGGAGATAGGAATCATATGTGTTTGGGATTTTTGGGGCATTGCGTATGAATGTTTTGGTTTGTGGGCAAGAGAAAAAGGATGGGATTCATAAATGAGTGTGTGTGAGAGAGAGAGAGAGAAACAGACAGACAGACAGAAACAGAAAAGGAGAATAACAGATTAACCTGTCAACAGATTCACATCATGTCATTGTCACATTCAACACAAACACACAATAGTCGTATCCCGCTTTTTCTTTTTTTTGCCATTCTGTCCACCAATCTAAAAACAGACGGACCCATTTAAAAGCGGCCTCGGACATCATGGACTTAGACGACAAGCTGTTAAGCTGGTGTCCGTGACAAGTACTTACCAAAGATGCCCTCCGACAGGGTTGTTTATGATTTTTAAGGGCCCTCGGGTTCAGGCAGTGGAATAACCAATAAACAAATGTAGGTCACCAGACTTTCAGGCAGGAACACACCTATTTCTAAAAGCTCCAGTAAATGTCCGCCCCTCCTCTTCACCTCTTTCCTTTTCATTCATCAGCTGCATGTGCTACACACATAAAGGAATACTTCATTTCTAGTTTTAACTCTTTGACATGTTTTTCCACGGAGCCATACCTCATTCCTACCTCAAATACTTTGCCTTTGTTTAAGCCCTGGCCCCAAATTTAGCCTGAGCCTCCAACCCTGACCTTTGCTTCCAAACTCACTCACTATTCTGCACCAGCGGTACCCTGTAGTCCAGCAATGAGCAAAGCTGTACCTTAGTTGGACACTGAGCTTAATGGGGCTTTAGCAGTTTAAACTAAAGCCAAATCAAATGGGTATCCTCCACAGTTAGTCGTTATAGTGTAGCATTTCCTGTTTGTGTTTCCCTGGACAATGTTTCCTAGCTGAGCTGCAGTACAGGGATAGTAACACAAAGAGGGAATTTAACACTAAAGATATTCATGAGAAACATCCATTCGATTTGCCTAACTCAGACTGCTCAAGCCTCACATTAACATTAGCTTCAGCTGAATGTTAGAATGCAGTTTTGCACGACACGAGGGCTGTGAGGACTGTGAGGACTGTACGCTGTCTCCTCCACTGTCATGTGAGGAAGGGGTTACTTCAAGGCCAGTATGGTGAGAAAGAAAGATTACAGCGACCAATAACTCTCAGCGTACATACGAGCGTGTGATAATTTTGATTAATGTAGTCTTAACAAGGTAGAAGAATTTGACGTAAGGGCAAATATAGCTACTTATTTATTCACTTGCTCAGACTTAGAAGAGAAAATTGTTACCATTGTCATATCACTAGGTTAAATATGGAGCTAGAGACATCAGCCGGTTAGCTTAGCATAACAATTGCCTGGCTCCGTCCAAACCAAACAAAATCTGCTACTGTCTTTAATAATAAAATTGATCTCTTTTGTTTAATCCATTCGAACAGCAAAGTAGGAAAAAACCAAAGGTTTTGTTTTTCCTTTTAGCGGTAACCTCTGAGAAAGAAAAATGAAGCTAATATGGAAGTACTAAAAACACTTCTTCAAATGGCTGCTTGAGACTGGCTCCAAAGGCGAGTCAATCCCCATCCACTCCCATGAACTTTACAGCAGAAATAAATATGTTTACATCCTGGTACAAAAAACTGTTTTGGTCTGTACATCTAATTTCCTCCTTCATGACAACTGTACGGAGAGGGGGGGGGTTATATAACTCACTCTTTAAATTTTATTAAGGCTTCAAGTTCAGCATAATTGAGGGCGTGCCGCTTTGACTGACAGGTGGGTGAGCATATGCTTACCACTAACCAGCATGCAATGAAGTCTCATTTGAACTCCCATTTTTGGATTAGCCGGGAGTTCAGTGGAGTCAGGTCCTGGCAAGACGCTGGCGGCGGCGGAGCAGCTCACTCTGAGCTTCAAAACCGCACCTCAGTAACCTATGGGTGACTTCACGGAGGCCACATCCATCTTTAGTTACAGGCTATGGTTTCCTGTCTTCATGCTAAGCTAAGCTAACCAGCTGCTGGCCCCAGGTTCATACTTAACTGAACATCATCCGGAGCGGACAGAGTTCAGCGGGACAGGCAGCAGACAGAGCGCAGACCGTGCAGGATGGATGTGGCCGTTTGTGGCTGCAGCGCCTGAGCTAAACATAGTCTGACTGGATAGTGGAAAGAAGTGGCGAAGTGTTTGGTAAGAGCGGATGGACGACGTTATGGGGAGGCCTGGGTCACCAAATGACTGAATAGATTTATTCAAAAAGACGGTTTGTGTGACTTACTGTGTCTGTGTGTGCGCTTTTGTGAATGAATATATCTTATACTTAAGTTTTATTTGTTCCTACCAGCGAGCTTCGGGGCTGTATGAGCAACTCCGTGGAGCTGTGCCCGATGCCGTTAGGGATGCCGGCTGTTCGGTACATGGCGCCGACCGTGCGTCTCTTCCTGGCCTCTTTGGCCGTCTTCATCAGCTCCACCGTCACCCCGACTTCAGCAAAGCTCTGCACCCCTGCACTGGCTGGAGCACCCTCCTCCCACAGCCGAAAATGGCGATTATGGCTGACCGCTAAAGGGAGAAAGGAAACACAAGAAAGGGAAGAAGACAGGAGTAAGATGCTTATTCACTGGAATGCATATCAATGTCATTGAAGTACCACAGAGCCTCAGCCAGACGGTGAGATCATTTCCACCACAGAGCCTGTTTGTATTTCTACGGCTGCCTCCTACTTCCTGCACTTAAACAAAAAGTTCTGAAGGAATTGCCCACATACGCGTCTTTGGAATTATTGCATGGTTATAGTTTTTCTCCATTTATCACTGATAAAACCACAACACAGACCGAGGCTGTCAGGAGATGGGTCAGGATCTCAGAGTTGGCAGCCAGACAGTGGACAAAAAAATAATTTAACCTCCTCTGAAAACCCATATTGATACTCTTTCTTACCCTTTGGGCCAACAGAACCATTTGCTTCACATTCTCATATTCAGTTCTGGTTATCTACGAAATCTGTTTAGAATCAAGAGACTGATTCAGGTTAAACTATTTGCACCACAGGTTGTGGAGCTCAGTACTGAAACCCACAGAGCCACTGGCCTGGGCCAGTGGTTTTAAGGGCAGAGTAAGGTTAGCCAGAAACACGCTGACAAATGCTCTGATGGTTCTGCCTTACCTCACTTTTCAGAGCTGCGTACAGGCACACATACACAAGCACGCATTTATACTTTAAACACTCTTGACACATGTATTAACACACACACACTGCACCGAACCACACACACACAACGTGCGCAGCACACTTCACACACTATCTTGTTTCTCCCCAAACTGCTATTATTTATGCACTTAATTACATTTCCATGCTAACAAATTTCCCACAATCGTCAAGACCTTGAAACTCAATAATACATCACGTTTAAGCCCCACCAAGACGTTAAAGCCCACCTCCCGCCCTTCTTAAATTGCGTATTTTTTCTGTGGCCATGACAAACTGCATTCCCTCTTCCCTCTGGCAGTGTCCTTGGTCCCTCAAGCCTGGGTCTCCACAATTAAGCAACATAAAACCATTGCAGGCCCCCAAACCCCTCAGCGGGTTGTGCTTTTCTTTGTGCCATGACAAACTCCATTTCCAACATTCTTTTTGTCCCCTACCAGTAAATTGTCAGCCCATTGAGGACCCAGTGTTTTTCTTCTCTTGTGACAAATCCCATTCCTTGTCCCGTGTGTCCACTGGTGCCCATTACTCTGGGACCTTAAAAGCCATTACGGGTGTGTCAGAATCTCCAGTTCCTGTCTTTATATGGAGTAAGTAGGGCATCATCCCCTGGCAGGGCAGCAGGGCACCACTAGGAGAGCTGGAAACCAGACATAGCCACGGCCGCCACAGACTGTGATGCACCAGAGCAGTCCAACACAGACACACGGGCACATACATACATGCACACACATGTACAAACATCTGCCATCCATCCCTCTATTCTCTGTGGTATGGGGAAATAAGCAGTATAGAGGGGCCTGAATCTCTTCTCCTCCTCCTCCTGGCTCTGAGGTAAGCGGTCTGACCCCACCACACCCCAACTATCATCACCCACCTTCACCAACCCCCGAAACCTTCACTCCAGTCTTTACCGCCAACACTGCGGTAAACCAGCGGAAATGTGGGAAGGAGTGTAGGATTGAGTTGAAGAAATAGAGAAATATTAAAGATACCACTAGACAGAAGTTAGAGAAACAGAGAGAGAAAAAAAACCCATCTGGTAACATTTAAACTGTCTTTCTTATTGCTGTCTGCTTCTTGCTGCTTTGCTCGTTAACATCTCTCACCCCTGTGTATGTGTGAGTGTATGAAGACAATAAGGACCTAAACTTCTGACACATGATGAGGGACAAAACATCTGTCTTTAGGAGAAGCAGAGGCTGAGTCACTGTCCCATCACTGTCCTTTGATTGGCTCCCCCTTTACACAAAAAGTTTGCATCTGTGAACTTTGGTGGAGGTCATATTAATAACCCCTGAGTCCTCGCTGCTGTTGCAAGCCTGAAATAATAGTCCATATTAAATGGATTATTATCAGGCATTAGAGGTAGATTTTTCCACGAGAAATGTTTGATTTTATAATAACTAGTTTCTTTGTCTCTAGCAGTGTTTCTCACCTAAGAGTTTGGACCACTGTGCAGGGGGGCGGAACAGGGGATACTGCTTGGGGAAGGCCTGCGGGCTCCAGTGACCTGTAAAGACCAGGATGTAGGAAGCAGGACCCTTGGCTGTGCATTCGGTCCCATTGAGTGGTCGCAAAGGCCCAGCAAAAGCAAGGCAAAGCTTCAGAAGTACAAGGAGTAGCTGCTGCAGCCAACCACAGGTCAGGTGATCTGATGACATCATCTGAAAGAAATGGAGAAATGAAAAATGGTTGTGTAAGTATCCCTCACCCACGGTATCAGGTTTGCACATGGTTGGGCTCTCCTACCCTAAGTTTTCTTGAATATCACAAAATGCGGAATGCGTTTTAAAATCACAAGCTGCTGAAAAAGTCTCTCAGAAAAACTTTGGCACATGATCTTTGTCCATCGGCAAGCAAATGAAAGAATCTCAACATGTACATTTAGGAAACCAAACCCACACAATCCTGGAAAATCTGTATAAGAGGGGAAATTCCACGCCCATGCCCTCATATCACGACACATTCATTTTATCTAAGAACAAAGCCTCTTGAACCTATTGACCCTCGAGCCTTTCTATTACAAAAAAAAAAAGAAGAAATCTTCCTATTCTCCAGGGCTGGGCCGAGTGTGTGTTGGTGCACAGCCAATCTGTGGCTACACGGCAAAACGGTTAACATTCATCGCTGTCACGGTAATGTCTGCCACAGAAGCCGCCCTAAAATAAAACAACACGGCTGACATCTCTGAGGATAGATGCAAATCCTGTCTGTTCTGCTGCTCTACTGACCTCACTGACTGGCCATCCACTGACCACCAGCTGCTGAGTCAGACTCACACTCTATTAAGAGAGGCAGAGTTGGATGAAGGCACGTGCATGATAGTTGCTCAAAACACATTTCATTACGTATTGTGTAAGGCTGAAGAAAGTAACAGAGAGGAAGCACTTGTGTTTTTTGTTTCTCTTTTTTGTGTATGTGCCCCTGAGTTGAGTTTTTGCTCTCTGTCACTGCTGTCAGTGGGTGTTTGTGGATTTCTTATTCTTACAATGCTCCATGAGATGAGTGCAAACCAGAGCCAGTCCTCTCTGCACTCCTTCCCTCCTTCCATCCCATCCTCCTCTCCACCTCTTCCACCCTTATTCTCATCCCATCTCTGCTCTCCAACAGCCAGACAAACTGTATCCCGCTGTATTGTGTGTGTGAATTTGGGCGTTGCCACTGAAGTGACAGTTTTAATAGTTTCTAAAAATAAAACATTAAACAATCAAAAAAATTTACATAAAATAAAAAATATTACATGAACAAAGATGTGATAAATGTGAGTGTCCAAGAGCACTGTTCTTTGAAACGAGGACCCTGAATGTAGTTCAAGAAAATTCGATAACGATGCACTGCAAAAAAGAAAAGTGATGTTATTTCACTTATGTCCTCTTTTATTGGCAGATATTTTAACTTTGAGATGACAGTTTATGACTTGATGACAGATGAATTTTTCAGTGTTTCAGTCTTACAGAAAGGAGTGTATTGTTTTGTGGCTGCAGCCTTGTGTGGCGATTCTATGAGTTACTATACTATAACTAAACCGTCAAGCAGCTGCAGAATGCAGACAGTTAAATTTGGGCAAGTCCAGCAGCACACAAACACGCACGTGCACGCCAACGTGAACGCACATACACACACACATACACACACACACACACACACCACCAACGCACATAACACTCATGTCCGGCTGCACATTGTCCCTGAAATCTATTTCCAGAGGTCAGATAGTGTTACTCTGCCAATATAGCTGCAAAACTCCAACTCTGACACTTTTCTGACCGCAGCCTTATATGTCACTGAGTTTTTAATCAATTCCTTGTCTCCATTAAATGTATATTAACCACTGCAGGGTTTAATAGTCAGCCATAAAAATAGCTCAAGTATGGAGACACACAGAGCCCAGCTTTGATCTCACTGCTCAGTCATATGATCATCTCATGGCTGCTCTGCAGGAGGCAGATAAAGCTCCAGGTTGAGATACTTAGCTATACAACTTGTTCCAAAAAGTAATTTGACATAATAATGTGATTTTCAGACTGATAATAATACGTTTTTGACCTACACTTCTGGTCGAGCACTGTAGGCTCAGGTTAATGGAAGTTCACTGCCTGGAGCTGGAGATTTTTTACATCAGTGTGTGATCTTAACTGCTACTGTCCTGTCTGCTCCGTCCACTGTGTTTTGAATAGGAAAGGAGGTCAGTCCTGTCACAGGCTGCTGCAAAGATTTAGCTGTTTTTCTTTTTTCCAAAATGATGTATTTCTGTTAAATTGTGAAGTCAGTCTGATAGCTACTGTCATATGATCTCTGTTGCCGTAACAACCATTAATCAGATGACTTTATTTTACAGAGGTTTTAGTTCAGTAGACCCTTTCCTTATGAACTTGTCACTATAACACACTAAAGAGACATTTCTTGAATTCCCACACTGACACACTGAACTTATCAGTCAACACACAGACCTGCGACCAGCTGATGTCTGCTGCTGCTGCTGCTGCTGCTGAAAGCACATGCAGTAATATAATAATAGGCTATATGATATTTATTGATGCATACAGACACAGACACTTATTTTCAGTCGACATCAAGTTTACACTCTTAGACCCACATGCACTCACACCACAGACCTGCTGTCATCAGACAGCTAAGACAGACACACACTGCAGTTTTTTCTGTCAGGCACAAGACACAATAAAACGAGGGGATGTGGCGCGGAGCCAAATGCAGCGGCTGCCGCCCCATGGGCACCTTCACTGTGCAATTACAGCAGCGTCATGCAGAGATAATGCACACATTCACTTCAGCTCATATACACAGGTATGCACGCACAGACACAGATTTGTGCACACAGCGGGAGGTATGTTCATTTTTAACAAGGAGATAGCAGGGAGGTAATTTGCTGTTTTCACAAAACATTTTTTGTGTAGCCAATGGCAGATTCAAGAGTTTGTGTTGACAAAAGAGATGCTTTGAATTGCCTTTCTTACAAACTCCTGTACAATCTGCATCTAACTGTGCCATTTCTTTTTCACGCATAAACAGACTAGACACACTTGGTCAGGCAAGCATCACAACAGGAGGTCAGAAACCTGAATGTTTCTCATGTAGGCGGAGGGGAGATCATGACCAGTGTAGGCAGCAGTTCAGACAGAGACAAAATTGAGGGGAGCGTGCAGATTTTGGTTTGTCTGAAATACTTCACCAGAGCCATATTTTCAACAGGACCAGAGAGGATGGATGGTGCATGCATATGCCTGCATATTGTATATAAATAACACCAATGAAGGGGAAGCAACTACCAGTGCAAATACATGCAAATATCAGTACAGATTGAGATGTAATTTAATTAAGATGTAGGTTGAAGTCAGTGGCAATAGATTTGTGTTCACAGTTCATCCAAAAACCATCACATTATTGCTGCATAAGAACAAACATAAATTCAGGGGTGTAAAATATATTTACCTTTTTTGAGTGACAATTTTGTAGTACTTTACTCAGTAGTACTACACGTCAGAGGACAATACTGTACACACAACATTGAACTATAGTCAGAATTAAATTCTACTTATAAAAACAAGTATTTCTAGAGCACGATGCATGTTAGTGAGTATACAAGATGTTAAAATTGGTGCGACCTTGAACAACGGCAACATTAAAATGATGCTTACATGTTAATGCATCAGAGATGATAATCTCCTAACATAATACATAATAATATATGCATTATAATGCAGAACTTCCATTTTTAATGGAGTATTTTTCCACTGTAGCACTGCTACTTTTATTCATAGGTAAAGGATCTGGACACTTCTTCCACCGCTGCACTGCTCTTACTCAAAAATACATCTTCCCAAGACAAAGGAACAAGCTTCCTGGATTTTATGATGCTAAAAAAAAAGCCATACTCAGCGAGACTTCGTCTGCGCAGAGAATGAATGGAGGCTCAGTGTGAGTCCTACCTGTGTTGGATCAGTCAGTCAGTGACAGAGAGAAGCTGCAGCAGAATCACAGAGAGGATACAGCTCCACTCACTCTTCTCTCTTTCTCTCTACTGCAGCCAGCTGTCTGGTGCAGCCTTATCAGCCTGTATCCCTCTATCCTCTGTCTGTCTTTATCTCTCTCTCTAAATTTCTCTCCTCCTCCCTTCTCTCTCTCATTGTATCTCCTCATATTACCCTCCTCTCTCTTTCTCTCGCTTTCTCCTCCCCCGCCTCCTCTTTTCTCCCCCTACCTCTCCTTGTATGGAAAGGCGGTTAACAGCCTAACTCCTCTCCTCCACTGTCCCTCTCTTCTCTCCCTCTATCTTTTCTCGCTCAAGTCTTTCAGTGGCTGTGTAAACTCAGCAACCTCATTGCTGACAAGGTAATCAACACCACATTGGCTTCTCTTAACATACACCACTCAGCATTGTGTATTTTCTTACCCCTGTTTTTCAGAGCACACTGTCAGACTTGAGAGGTGTAGTGTTGCTGAATAATGGCAGTAAAATAGAGGGAGAAATGAGGAATAGGGCTTTATGCACAGACATGCAACCTGGAGAGCAGACGAGTGGAGTCTGGACAGAAACAAAGGCTTTTCTTCTTTCTTTTTTTTTATTCCTGCAGCTAATTTACTGATTGGACATTGCTGAGAATCAAAGGAGTTTAAATGGTTGCTGCCCCCCCCCCTCTTCCTCCCAACTCCCCTTTTCAAATAGTTCTTCTGTCCTGTGGCAGATCCAGCTGTGATCTCAGCTGAGGAACCCCTTTTCCGTGGGTCAGGGTGTACAAACGTGTGTGTGTGTGTGTGTGTGTGTGTGTGTGTGTGTGTCAGAGACGTGTGGCCACCAGTTGCCACAGCTGGTACACACATGGACAACCAGGGAGGTTTCTATTACCAGCCGCCACTCACTTATCAACGTGTCAAGGCTCAGACTAAACGAGACTGTGTGTGCTTGTGCATATGTGTGTGTTAGGGAGGGAGAGTGTGTAAAAACATTTAGTTACTTTCCTGATTATTACCCACAGCTATGACGCCACAAAAGCAGTCAGCCTATATTTCATCAGACAACACACACACACACACATACACGCCCTGGTCAGGCTTGTGATCGAACGTGGATTAGGCACAGTTCGATCTGCACTATCAACTCGACCTGGCTGACATCGACCAGACTTAAAAGACGACTCTGCTACAG